ACATAAGCATTTCTATGTTACCATTTATGTAACATAATATTTACTAATGACTCTAAAATTAATAAAAAGTTTATTTTTAAATTTAATAATAATAAAGGTGATATTTTAAACATTTTGACTTAGCTAAGACTTAAAGATGATTGTCTTTTAGAGCTTTTAGATGGTACATAGAATTGAATAGAAACCACTATTATAATGAAAAATGAATAAATGGTGAATTACGGATAATCAAAGTGTTTAACCACTACAATATGTGAAAACTGACAATATGTACTAAATTTGTATATCAAACTAAAAATTTTAGATTGAATTGAACCTATTTTATAAGGACATAATAGTGATGAAGTCAGAGTTCAGGATTACAATGGAAAGCTTGATCTTGAAGGAGATGAATGCTTTGGTACACTTTCTGGAGATAATAATATAGTGAATTAGATTTAGTATAAAAAAAAAAATTTTATAATTGCATTTAATTAAAAAATTTACCCTATCAAGTATTTTTTAAATTTTATATTATTCCTTAAAACAAGTATTAATAATTTTGCAGATTTTTTTATGGATTAACTGCTTTCTCACCACAAAAGGGGAACATTTAAATAGTTATCTAAGAGTTGTACTGTATGGTATTTCTCGGGAAATGTTGGTAGAACTCGTAGGTTTTAATAATTCTGACGATAGATTTTGTTATGATATTCCTATAATAATTATAAGTTAATTTAGAGTAGCATGATGTATAATATATCTTGTTAATAGTTAGCAAATACGATAAGTATGTGGATAAATGATAAGTATACGTAAATTTTCTATGAAGTGTATTTATTAATCAATTAGTAACAGTTCTCAAATAAACATATACAACAATTAATACAATGTCTAGTGATATATTTATATATATTTTCAAATATATATATAACAAAAATATGTACCAATATTTATACTATTATATTAGCAATTTTTAAAATTATAATTTATAATATTATGTATTTATTTAATATTTAAAAGTTAGAAAAATAATAACATTTTATTATTAATTATGTATTGTTGGTTGGGCATTAAAGAGTTAAAGTTAAGTTCCTTATAAAGATTTCTTGTAACTTTCTTTTATTTTTAATGTAATTTCTAATTTGACAAATTTCTTAGGTAAAATTTTTTTGGTGGTTCAATTAGTAAATGATAGGTGGCCTGGATAAATTTTAATTTACTAGCCTGGATTCGATTTCCACTCTGCCCCTGTGAGTACTCATTCATAAAGAAAAAAACACATCATAACAAAATCAATAAATCCATCAGTTAATTTAGAATCTTAATTAATATTAAACTATTTTATAAAGTAATTCTATATATTCATTTGGTATTTTGTTACATACTGTGGTCTGTGATAAAGACAGTATAGATATAAGTTGTATATTAATGGAAATAAATATTTGTTTTTATAACTTAATTCTTTAACATTTTATAATATAAAATATTACATTTATTAGAATTTGGATGAGATTGATGACTTAGAATAGCAAACTGCAGCAATAGATGTTTATAAAATCATAAAGTTTAATGTTTTTTGGAATGAAAGACATATAACTTTTTGTTTTCCTCTTGCAAGGTTGTCTCTGTCTAACACACGTACGATATAGTAAATTTTCGTTCATTAGTTTCAATATTGTGCTTTTAGTTTTGATATTAGAGTTAATATTCCATTCACAATACATGCCGTTACGACGTCCTCTTTAATTCTTTAACATTTCATAACATATAATTACACTAATAAGTAATAACCAAGCCCGGATCAAGAGCTTCAGGGACCCAGGGGCTAATACATGGTTGTGAGTCCTCGTCAATAAAAACAATTCTTTAAAATTATACAATAAAACAAATTTAAACATTTTTATTTAAGTATGATAACGATTGATGAGAATAAAAATATTAAAAAAATATTATATTTTTATTAAAATATATATTTATACATAAAATAAAGTTTTGTTTATGTAAACAGGTTTAGTCGGTAGGTATCTGAATTATGAGTATCCATGACCAAGACAGTCACATAAACAAATTTTGCCAATTTTATTTTTAAATACAGTAATATTAAAATATATGCCTATTCCCAACAAACACAAACCTGGCTATGACGCTATGTGTCCCTACTTACCATACTATTGGTGGTAGGTCGACGCGCCCTATCGACTGTTAGCTCATACAAGAAAAAAATAAAAATATTTTTGTAGATACTAATGTAGGTACTATAAAAAGTACAAATTATCACTTATTGTAATTTTAAACCGAGAAGACTATGGGCCGTTAACACACGTGGGCCCTGGGGACTTGGCCCCTCCTGCCCCCCCCCCTTAATCCGGGCTTGCTAATAAAGTTTGGCATGATAGAGCTGAGTTTGAAGTTGCCGCAACAGAGGCTTATAGAATCATGAAGATTTAAGTCTTTTGGAAACAAAGGCGCACTACTTTTTGTTTTCCTCTTGACTTATCCAGTTCAGTCCATGATTTGACATTGTGGAATAGTAGTCAAGGTTAAAATGTAGTTGGTATAGTTCATTTCGTATGGAGCATTGAAGGCTATTAGACCTGAAATAATTTCAAAAAGAGTCTCAAACTCATTATAAACAAGTGGTGGGAGGAAGGAAAGTGGTGTATCAGAGTCAAGATTTATCACTTACAAAGTCAATCTTTATCCTATCGTAAGCATCATGTATAAGAAAATATTAATCTAATTTTTCAAGAAAGTCTGCCAGGTGGATTGGCTAAAGAGATTAATTGTTTTAGGAACAGAGTATAGCACAGATTGAATCTTGTGGCAGTGTAACTGGTTAAGAAAGTTTGGACAGTACTGTGAAAGAGAGAAGGTTGAGAGGAAGGTTGCAGTATTCGCAAAGCTTTTGGTGATGAAATGGGTTGAAAAAAAGGGAGAGTTTAACATTTTAGCTTGTTTTCTACTGCAGCTAACCTAGCAGCCTAGCCTTCCAAGACTACAGTTACAAACCGTGATCTATTGAATGTCCGCATTGATGCTACGTTTCACACTATTACTCATAGTATGATTTATGCTTTTGTTTGCTGTAGCTGTGTGGGAGAAATTGTTACGCTCTTAGAGCTCAAAAATATTATTTTGGACCGTAAGAAATTCTAAATGAAAGTTGGTTTACGTTTGAGATATCGGTATCAATTTCATCTACTCTGGTACATAATTCGTCAAACTTGTCGTCCAGCTCAGTGAATTTTTGGGCAAAGGATTGGGTTCATCATTAAAATGACTAAATATAAATGATTAAATTTAATAATCAATGTACCTACCATATTGTATAAAAAAAAATTGGTTGATAAGGAATACGCCGAATATGGTCAGTTTATGTCAATTTTGTTTTACATTATTATAGTTTGTCTATTCATATTGTGTGTGATTTTGTCTTACGTGAATTAAGTCAGAATAATATTCTAGGTCAAGTGGTTTTTTTTTTTTAATTAAAGAAAAAATGTATTAAGTAAAGACAAATACAAATTATAGTCGCTTACAATTATATATGTTTCAGAATTTGATAGTTTGGTGTTTTTTAATTGATCAATCAGTACAGTACTATTTTGTAAGCTGTGTGAACTTAAAGTTAGAGCTGAAAAAACGTTTTACTGTGTTGCTACATCTTAAAACTAAAAACATACAATGTCTGTTAATCGAATTGAATAGCTAAAAAAAAGTTAACAGCTTTTTGAATTTAATCCACCAACTAAAAAATGTTAGTTTAACAAAGATCTATAGCATTTTTATAAGAATAAACAGGAAAAGAAATTCCAAAAGAGGCCATTCTTCGTAAAGGCTAAGTAGATGACTGTTTCAAGATACTTTAGCAAAACTAGGAAATTACGTATCAAATAAAAAAATATGAATATCTGTTAATGAGATGACCTATGTTGAAGGTCGCTTCGTTGACAATGTTATTATAGGAGTTTTACTAACTGACAGACCGAGTTAGTAGAATTTCATTAAACATTTTATTTAAAATATCTATAAAACATAATTTTTTAGATTTTACTTTTTCAGTATGAATTGATTATGAAATTAAAATTAGTTCTTTATGAATTTTCAACTACAAGTTAGATTTTAATTTTTTCCAATTTTGATGAATTTCATAAAAATTCTAACTTCAAATGTATATATAAACAAATATGCCTTTATATTTTCAGTATTATTATACAGATATAAGAAACATTTTGTGGGATCTTGTATTAAATTATCAAGAATTTTGACCCAATAAATAATTATAGAGAAAAAACTAATAATAATTGAAAACTTCTTTTTATAAATAACTCAAAGCTAAAACATTTTGAAAATTTTATTGTATTATGAAAATAATAATATAAACATTTGGTAAAAATCATAAGTATCTGTTGTTATATTTTTTTTTTTTTTTTTTGAAATATAATTAAAACCTATACAACATAGGTATAGGTTGAAAAACTAATAGAGATTTTTGCTTACAATTTTTAATTATTAAGTATAAAAATAATTTTTTTTGAGTTTCTAACTACAAAATAATTTTATAATTTTCATGATTTTTATAAATTTAGTCAAAATATTAACTTTAAACTTAAATTTTTATAAAAATAATATTGTTATGTAGATTTTCATATTACATAATATCTTAGTTCGCAACCGTAAAGGGTATTCTACATGGATACATTTTTGTTATCATTAGTAAGATAGGTGTTTATTTTAGGTTTTTTATTTAGGACTTGATTCGTGAATGATTGAAAAGTGAACGATAATTAATCATATTAATTTAAAATTTAAATAGTAATAATGACTAAACGTTGAAACCTCTAAAAGTGTAGACTGTAGAATGTATCTTACTGCCTTGTCATTTTAAACATTTTGCTATTTATTGTATGCTAACGATAGAAATATAGCCATGTTTTTATTTATTTATCACGACATATTTGGGGATGTTCAGTTTACACATACGTTGATAACTCCTACTACGACAAAACGTCAATGTTTAGTTGATTCTACAAATTCGGTTACGGAATCGAACACTATTCTACACTATTGGCGTCTGAATGAAAAATATCTCACCGATCTCAGTAATCGCTGGCGATCAGTATTCAGTATTCATCGTGCACTCTTGTGCTTTTGCATTTACCGTATCTGAGTGTTTCCGCTTTATCCAATATGCATATCTGTTTCAACTGTCTAGTAAGACTTCAATTGTTATAGTGAGACCGTTTGGTAGAATTACCTCCATTGCCTGTAAGCAGCAATAGGAATTTTAAGGTATGTTGAATTATTTTTTGTTTTTCAAATTTTTTTTATTGTTTTGTCTTTTGTTTTTTTTAACAACCTCTGATGTAAGCTGAATAAGTTACAAAAGTATTAAATTTTAATAATTGTTTTTTTTATACTGTATTAGGTACAGAAATGCAAAATTGCATTAACCTCGTAGACATATCTGATGAAGAAGATGACGATTTCGATTTTGTCGCACAATATCGAAGTGAGTGCTTATTACTAATTACTAGGGAATAGACTTTATTGTAATAAAAAAACCAAAATATGTAAAAAAAATTAAAAATATGTAAATATCAAAAAAATTTATTAGTATTAAAAATTACAAAAAATAAAAATAAATATTTTATAAAAAAAAAAGTAATACAAATGATATAGATGTATAAAACTATGAGCATTATTTCGGAACAAAGCAATGAGAAACAACATATGAAGGTTTGGAAATGAAAAATTGCGACTGTTTGGTCGGAGAAATCTCTTGTAATATTTATTATAAAATGAAGTAAAAATTAGTTAATTAAAACAGTTCTTTTATAAGGATTTTTTTTGTAATTTTTATCTAAAATAATAATATAAAATAAAAGATATTTTATTTGTTAAACTTGTACCTATGTTTTATCTATATATGTTATATGGAAATTAACGTTATTCACCAAATACACAGGTAATTATTGTTATAAACCAAATAATCACAATAATGACCAAATACACAGGTAATTGATGTTATAAATCAGATATGCACATGAATCTCAAATACTACAATTTGAAAAATTATGTAGGTATCCAGGTATTTTTAAAAATAGAAAAATGCATTATTATTTTTTATTTATTTTTACAAGTTTTACTCCCATGACTTAATATAACATAATTTTTCAGCCCCAAGGTAGACACAATGCTTATTATTATTACAACTAGTCTTGCAATGACAACGCTGGTACCTTTGAGGGTCCGCAACCGAGTTATTACTAGCTACTTCCCTTAGTGTCAACTGTCTACCATTTGCTAATTTTATCACATTGTCCATGTCTAATAGATTTTATTTGCAAACAGCTATTTCTTGGCATGAGAAATAGTATTTAAGAAAACTATATTCCATACCTATAAAATAATAAAACAAATTTTAATTTTAATAATATATTTTTTCATTAAGAATTAACTTATAGAGTTTGTACAAGTCATGTTCAACTTGGGTGACTACTAGTATATTTTGCATAGAATCACGAGCTTTATCAACGTTCGGTATAAATACACATACAGTTATGGCTATTTCAAGCTGAGAAAACTTTTCTTTAGAAAGTTTCATCATTTCCTCTCTTTATTTTTCTAAATTTTTTTTTTTTGAATTTTTACATACAATACAAATATTTTTTTGACAATCATCAAAAAAATATTTAAAATAATTTTTAAATATTTATATTTTAGTTTTATTTGTGTTATATTTAAAATTTGGAAATTTATCGTTAAATAATTAAAAAATATTTAAGTACCAAGTTCCGAATTTTTTTCTGCGATTTCTATGATTTAATTTCCGATTTTGTCTTCTTTGGTGATTGGTTCCTATGGTTATTTTTTTAAATCTTCCGCAATGACCTCTTTTATTTTATAATCAGATCAAAATTTCCCAAATCATACGGTTATTGACGTTATTCACTAGAAAATAATGATGATTCCCACATTTGTAGGTAAATAACGTTAATTTCGATATAACTTCATTTACTGTAACATATACATGTGTAAAGTCAATCAATTTTTTAAAATTAATTAAGTATGTTTTTATTTTAAATAATATTTTAATTATTCTAAGGTATCATATCCTAATCGGCATTGTTTTTATGTTCAATTTTTAGAACTTGAAAAACTTCAAAAGGAAAAGGCAAATAAAAACAAACCCCCCCCTATGGATTGGGAAAAAATGCTAAGCTCTAGTACCAGGTATAACATAATAATATTAACTATTGTATTTTGTATTATGAACTGTGCATAATAATGATCAATTTTTATAGCTCACAGACTGTAACTTCTATCGATGCACCAAAAGGTCTTTCAAATAATGTACAGAGTATAAATTCAACCATGTAAATTTTATACCTTTTTAAAATTATTATACAGTTTTCAAAATTAGTTAAATAATTGAATAATAAATAATGCTTTTAAAATAATAAATTTAAAAATTTTGTATTACAAATATAATTCTATTTATTGTTTTTTTATAGTTCAAATGGTAATGTTACTATAAATTTAACAGAAAGTACTTCTGGCATAACTAATGCTCAACGTGGTTTACGCCGATCAAGAAGGTATATTTTTAACTTATTTGAAAGTGTATAATTTAATAATAATTAATGTTATTTATTTATTTTTGTATGATTTACTTCAGATCAAGAAATCTTGCACCCTTACCTACTAATGTACGTATACTTGGACCAGTAATATCCATTGGAGATTTTTATGATGGTTATGGTGAATTCCCACCAAGAGAAATAAAAAAAGATTCAAAAAGCGACAATGATGAAGATATCTTGGCTGTAAGTTATGTATTTATAATACAAAATATTTTTTTATTATTTAATTTTTTACATTTTTTAATGTAAAATTATATTAATTAGAATTGGGAAAAGCGACAGATTGAAGAAGCTCAATTAGAAGATGCTATGGCTAAAGTAAATCATGTGATGAATATTAAAGTCTATTGGCAACAAAAACGCACTTATAGTTTTCCTCTTAGAATGGTTCGATAATTGTTTTGATAAATTTTTATTAATATTTAAATATTTGTTTATATTATAATGTATAACAATCAGTTTCAGCCAATTTCAAGTATTTATGAACATTTTGCAAAATTAGAAAGTATAGAGCCTTCACATGTTCGTTTAGATCTACACAAAAAGACCCTTTCACCAGAAGATACACCAAATTCAATCAACTATAAGATCGTAGATTTCATTGGTAATATTATAATTTGAAATTATGTATAAATATTTTATTGTTGATGTTACTTTTTATGTAATGTAACAATAGTTAAATATTAAGAAAATTCCACCCTGACTTAAAAAAGTACAAAAAAACAAATATTATGTTCACAATAATCTATATTTTTCTGTTATTTTTTAAATTAGAATTAATTGACACTTTCAAAACTTAAAGGTAACATTTTTGTCTAAGGCATCTTGGAAGCTTGTATTAATATTTTAAATATAAAGCAAATTATGAGAATTTTGAAATTATAATGATTGTTACTTATGCATTAAAAAAAGGAAGAAAAAACATAAGGATATAAACTGCTTTATTAATCTCTTATGATGTTAATTTAAACCAAATAATATTAAATACCATTAACCTATATAAATTGGATAACAATATAAAATATATAACAGTAACTATTTATTTAATATTTTCATTTATTAATTTTATACTTCCAAGTACCTGAGTATTTTCCTAAACATTTTACTAATTAAAATTATTGATAATTCAATTGAAATTTAAGGTACCATTAAATAGTTTTATTAAATTTTAAAATTGTAAATGCCTAATGTGTTGATTTTTATATTAAAAATATTATGGTTTATATTATAACTATTATTTCATCATTCAAATTTGTATACTGACCCAATGACAGTATATTTTGTAAATTTAGTAACTATTATCGTTATTTTTTTTATTTATACATGCTGATAAATATGATATTTACTTCACAATTTTTTCAACAGTTACATAACTACGACACAGAATGCAAATTTTTATAAGTTATTAATTTTTTTTTTTGAAAATTACCTTAACTATTTTTTTTATTTATTAAATCACTATGAATATTTTTACTATACATAGTTTGCATTTGGTTAAAAAAAATTTGTTCCTAAATAATCTACAAAATATTGTTTAGTATTTTTTATTATTTTTATATTCTCTTAAATCTCTATATATAAGAGAAAGTATACTTTACCAATAATCAACGTACAGCCAAAACTACCGTACGGATTTATTTGAAATTTTCAGGATATGTACTTATTACTATGTATAGGCGCACTAAGAAAGGATTTTTCGAAACTCCTATGAGTTAGAGATTTAGAGACAAAAACTGAGTTACACCGGTGGCGCCCTCTAGCAGATAAAAAATATAAATATAAATAATAATACAAATATCGATAATAGTAGGGCTTGAAATGTCAAAAATGAAGCTATGTAACTAGGTTACAAAATAAAACAAATATAAATACAAATCTAAATCATGTGGCTAATTCATTATCATGCCGAGAGCGCAAAGAGCACGCATTGGCAGAAGAACTGCCAATGCATGCAACTCGAATGTATAACAGAAGGCAACAAAATAACACACCAGAACGTTCTCAAACACTTGCACAGGAGCAACTTAACGCTTTGAGTATGAAATCAGCGTTGAATTATCAATCCGAGATTGGTTATTTAAATATTAAAGCGCTTCAAATTGGACAAATGACTATATTATGTCCTAAGTGCCATGCAAAAAAATGGAAAGATGAAACCCATAGACTTTGCTGCGCTGACGGTAAAGTTGTTTTACACCAATTCGAGGATCTTCCAGACCCAATTAAAAGTTTAATTGATAATTCTCACCCTCTATCAAAACATTTCTTTGATAATAACAGTTACATCAACAGATGATGCTATTCATTATCCACAAGAATTTCTCAATTCTCTTTCTCCTTCGGGATTTCCTCCTCATAAACCTCCTCAACCACCGAACTTATGTAACGGTACAAGATTACAAATAAAATCGTTGCGAAATAATATTATAGAAGTCGTAATTCTTACAGGGCCAGCGAAAGGAGAAATTGCATTTATTCCATGAATTCCCATGATTCCCTCTGACTTACCGTTTTCTTTCAAACGGCTTCAATTCCCGGTTAAAGGTTCTTTTGCCAATACCATAAAAAGAAAAAAAAAATTAATTTTTAAAATTGAAAGAAAAATTTCAATCCGTTTTCATTAACCGTTTTTTTATATTTACTTGCCGATCACATTAAACAATAATATTTGAATAAAAAATTCTACATATCATGGTCCGAAGGCAAAATAAACAACCAATCACGGGCGAAGCTGTGACGGGTCGGCTATCTATTGATACAGTTACATCAACAGATGATGCTATTCATTATCCACAAGAATTTCTCAATTCTCTTTCTCCTTCGGGATTTCCTCCTCATAAACCTCCTCAACCACCGAACTTATGTAACGGTACAAGATTACAAATAAAATCGTTGCGACATAATATTATAGAAGCCGTAATTCTTACAGGGCCAGCGAAAGGAGAAATTGCATTTATTCCATGAATTCCCATGATTCCCATGATAATTTCCATGATGACTTACCGTTTTCTTTCAAACGGCTTCAATTCCCGGTTAAAGTTTCTTTTGCCAATACCATAAACAAAGCGCAAGGTCAAACATTCAAGTACGTTGGCGTAGATCTTCGTACAGAGTGCTTTTCACATGGGCAATTATACGTGGCATTTTCTCGAACTGGGGACCCGAATCATCTTATGATTTTAATTTCAACAGGAAATATAACAAAAAACATCATATACTCAGAAGTCTTATAAAATTCTTATTTTAATTCTTTTTTTTTCTTCAACTTCAATAAAGTTCTTTATCAACCATAAATTATTTCTTTTTTATCTTTATTATTTTTATCATTTATAACGCTAGAAAAATTTCAATCCGTTTTCATTAACCGTTTTTTATATTTACTTGCCGATCACATTAAACAATAATATTTGAATAAAAAATTCTACATATCATGGTCCGAAGGCAAAATAAAAAACCAATCACGGGCGAAGCTGTGACGGGTCGGCTAGTTATTAATATAAGGTTTAGATTTTAAAATTTAAATAATAATAGGTTTTATTTTTAGTTTTTGTTTTAATTTAATAAGTTGAGTAATGATTGTCTTTTTTTTATTTTTTAGATGGTAGTATTGAATTTTATAGAAGTGCTGATGATACACCAAAAGTTGAAGAAGAACCGCGGGAAGAAATGGTGAATTATCATATTAAGCAAAACAATGTAAAACAACCAATTATAATGGAAATGAAAAAAACCGACAATATGTTAATTATGTATATCAAACTAAAAGAATTGTTAAATATTGAATTAAATTCATTTAAATTGATGTTTGATGGTGAACAAGTAAAATTTATGGATACAATGGAAAGTTTGGATCTTGAAGGAGGTGAATGTTTTGAACTTTTCTTTAAAGAATAATATTTGAATTAGATTTAGTTTAAAAAAAATTATGTTATTAGTTATCACATTTAATAAAAGGAAGAATTAATTGTATCAAATATTCTTTAAATTTTGTATAATTCTTTAAAATTGCTCTGAATATTTTTGCATAACAGATATATTTATTGATAGAAATTTAATTTTACTTCTTCTTTTTATTACTAAACTATCAATGTAACTGTCCAACATTTTTTTTTGTAAAACTTATCCTAATATATTGTGAAGTTTTGGCCTTTTAGGGGCTTTTTGCGCACCCACCACATAAAAAAAAAACACTTACGTGGTGACCCATGACCCTTACTTTGTTATGTTCCTTGGGAGATGTCGATAGAACTCATAGATTTTGTATAAGTTTTTGAAATATAAAATTATTAAGAGTTGATATTTAAATAAATAATAAGTAAAGTGTTTTGGGTAATTAAGTTGGGTGTATTTTACACAACATGTTTGCTAGTTATTGAAATTTATTTTTCAAGGGCACGTGGCAAATACAATCTTTTTAATAATATTTTGGGTATATATAAAAAGATGTAGTATATCCTGTTACTATTTATGAAAGGTAGTTAAATCATTTTTAAATTTGTATAGAGTCTTAAAACCTATTGAAAATTATTGATTCAAACAAATGCTATAGTTACTTTTATAATAATATTACATATTATGGTTGCTTATTGCTTTGCTTTCTATGATAAAAATAATAAAATATGGTGTAATTTACTTAATTTAAGTGATAAAAATTAATTTTTTTCTATAATACTTCCAAAAAATATAGATATAATAGGTAATAATAATAATATGTTTCAAAAAGGTAGATTTATTAACATCAATTAATTTGTGTGCTAATAGTAATATATATAAAACAAAAATTCTATTTGCTAAAGTTTTAGTTCTGTATCAAATAGGTGTTGATTATTTAGTTTGAATTGTTCCATTTTTTGTACATTTATTTCTTACTCTGTAAACCTCAAGTTCGTTCAAGAAATTTTATTTAAGATTTACAAAATTACGTTGAAATTAATGTTGTAAAAAAAAGCATACATTTTGTTAGAATAACTCAACAAAACCTGATTTAAAACAAACATGTTTTGTGCTTAATATTTGATATATTGGTTTTTAAATAACTAATTTGTGATAAATAGTATGATATATCTTATGAAGTACTCAATAAGTACTTAATATCTACAATAATAGTAAGTTTTTTGAGTTTAATGAAATTATTAGATAATAAATATTTGATCAAAAACAATGTAACTCCACAAATTAAAAATTAAACTTCAAGTAATTTTTCTAATGTCTTACTAACTTAACTAAATGTGTTAAAAAAAAATTAATTTACACTTGAATATTAAAATATCTCAGTTTAGTATAATTATTTGTATCAGATACCAGTTCAAAAGTCAGATATAGTCAGACTATTTTTATTTATCTTGATTAGATTTAAGTATATTAATTTTTATTAAGTATTGGGTGCAATAAATTATTATTTTGTTACCTATATATATTTTTAAACTCAAAATTGTTTTTTACTTTATAAATTATAATAAAATCTAATGTAATGTATAAACATAAAAATATTTAAAATTACTGAGAATGAATAATGTACCTATACATATACAATCGAAAGTTGTAATACCTGTAAGTCGTGAATAAATGTAATATCCAAGGGAATACATTAGGTGTTACTGTATTTAAATTTTAAGAGGATGTGTATTCTAATTGTTTTATCTCTAGTTGATTCACACAAAACATAGACAAAACAAATACAAGAAAATGTATTTTTTTTATTTTTTTTATTTAAATATATTTTTTAAGTGTTGATAATATATACTGTTTTGTTATAGTTTACCCAGACACCCAGTTATTAAATTAAACGACAATTAAAAAAATTGACTAAAAAAAAATTTAACTTATTTTAAAAATTTCTTGTCTGAATAGATCAAAATATTTTATCATGAATAAAAAACGATAATATAAACATTTAGTAAACACCTACAGACAGACAGACTACACTAGTAGAATTATTCGTTAATGAGTTATACTAAAAACAAAATTGATTTTGTCAAAAATCGAGTTTGCATAAAAATTCTCACACATGTTTAATTTTTTATTCGTTTTTCCAATTACAAAAGTAAGAACTTGGAATTTTTAAATTTGAAATAAACTAGATCTTATTTGGTATCCATAACCCTCTAAATTTTTGAAAAAAAATATTTTATCAATAACTTATCTTGTACTCTGGGCCGGAATGGCCGGTATGAAATTGGGAATTTTCCTGAGGTTATAATCACTTATTGTTAGATTTTTTTAAATTTAATTTAATTTACAAAATTAGTAAATGCGTTAGGTTTGTTTCTATTAAAACTTTAAACACTTATAAATTATTATATTATATTGCAATAATGGTATGTTTTAATAGCCACTTACAGTCGTTACTTCTATAAGGTAATGCGAGTATGAAAGAGCTTCGGATATAAAATTACAAAATATCTATTACATAAATATAGGAATTAAATAAAATCAAAACAATATATCGAAATTGGATGATTATTTTTATGATAAAATATCATGGTACAGGGTAATGCAGGGTGGCTATAATACAAATTTCAATAGAACTCATAATTAATAAATTAGGTACCTATAAATTACTCTTTTGACTCATTGCCGTCTGTTGAAACCTGCAAGTTGTTTATCTGTAAAGTAGCGACCTAATGACTATAAAATAGTTGAATAATAATTAATAATTAAAAATAAATAATAATACTATTGGTTTTAAATACTACTAATACTAGTACGAGTGTCGACGGTGTTGTTTATTTGCGTTTTTCCTTTTATAGGTACTTCCAGATTTGTTATTAAAATTTTGTTTTGTTTGCACACTAATAGCCAATAGGTACAAGTTTAAGTTTCTAACTATTTATCGATTATATTAATTACGAATAAAAAAAGGAAAGGAGGGGTAGAAAGAGATCGTGAAAAAAATATAAAAAGTTACTTACGAAATGGACTGAAAAATATAGGTACTATGGATTATGAATTAGATTCGTTTATTCGAAAATGTTCATCTATTGTGATGATTGGTAACAAAGATAGTCAAAAGATTTGACTAATGTTGGTCGCATATATAGATTCTGAAGGTAAGTCAGGTAAGTGAATTAATCATTTTTAATTTATATAATTTTGAGGCTTAATATTTTTCTAGCTTTTACTAACTATTGTAGTTAGTAATTGGGAAGTAATTTTGTGTACCTACTTTAAAAGTATTTTATTTACTATTTAGTTAAATATTCTAGTCATGACTTATGGTTGGGATTATTTTTAATTTAAAAACTTATTATTATTTTAATTGCTCATAAACAAAATTTAAGAATTTCCAACACATTTATGTAATAAACCTTTTATAGGTATCTAAGTAGTGAGTACATACCTCAAGTAGGTAGGTACCATTCTAATTAGCTATTAATCTAAGGCTCGGAAGTTGAAGACCTTAAAAACATTTAAAAAATGACCTAAAAAATTATAAATATTTGTTTAAAATTAGTAAAAATATATTTAAAAAAAAATAAAGAATAGTAGTAATAATAAAAATTACTCAAAATTATTACAGTAAACTATTAAAGCATATTTTATATTATCAAAAGTAAAAATGACATTTAGCAATTACCTTTCTTTTTTTATCGAATCTTTTTTTTTACCTATCTTGTATACAATTTGTATAAAATATATATTTAATGTTGATACTTATACACAGTCTGTGTAAAACAAAAACTATGTGTGCAAAGATGTTAATTGATAAAATCTAATTATAAATACAAAAAATTGAATGCATCAACTTTCGAGCCCTAGTTATTACTCATTGCTATTAAGTAGTATATCTTGTTATACCTAATTTAATATTTTGAATAAAATGTACTAGTATTTATTTATCATAAATTTATTTGTTACTTATTACTTAGTATCTACTATAATTAAACCATTAAAATACAATATATAATTATTAATATTTTATTGGTATTAAGTTTCAATTATTAAACTATACTAATCTTATTTTTTTAGTATTAATGGTAAATTAAAAATTAAAAGGATTAGGAAAATAGTGATTTAAATGCTGAAAAGAGTACCCAATATAATAATATTGTTATAAACAAAATATTTTTTTTCTTATATAATTGTTTTAAAAAGATAAATAAATAAATATAATTGGAGCGTAGCGAGAACATTTTTTTGGTGGTTCAATTAGTAAATGATAGGTGGCCTGGATAAATTTTAATTTACTAGCCTGTATTCGGTTTCCACTCTGCCCCTGTGTGTACTCATTCACAAAAATAAAACACATTATGACAAAATCAATATATCCATCGTTCCACTTAGAATCTAAGTTAATATTATACTATTTTTAAAATAATTCTATAAACTCATTTAGTATATTGTTACATACTGTAACAATATACTGTGGTCTGTGTTAAACAAATTCATATCACTATTCACTAGGGATACTAGAAAGCATATTATTTATAACAAAACAATTAATTAGTATTAGGTTTCTTAAATGTATTTATTATTTAAATTATAATAATATAAACTACTATTATACTTTAAAAAAAATGTATTTATTTGAGACAATATTAAGAGTTAAGATAAAAATTAAAATATTTGTAAAATATTAATATTTATAATAAAACAAATTTAAGGTATTTATATTATTTAGATACAATGTTAAAGTACTTTCAATTTTTATTTAAAGAGAATATTTCAAATACTTTTGTATTATTGTCAATAATTTAGTATTTAAGAACAATAATAAATACTTACTATGTAGGTTATTTACTTAAATGCAAATACTCAAGTAGATATTTAAGTATATTTAATGTGTCTCAGGATAAAATGACTATAACGTCATATGAAAATGTACTTAAAAATATGTACAAAAAACCTATTAAAGGGAGAGGAGCAGAGGGCCTATCATATATTTTTTAAATAAATCTGAGCCTATTGCATATTCTTTGATTTATTTTCAAATCTATTAACTTTTTTATTATTTTAAACTTGTAAAGTAAATTTATTGTAACATAAAATAACTTACATAATTAGACCAGTATTTTACTAATAATTTTTATTTAATCAAAGTAAATGATTGGTTCATATTAATTAAAAACTTTCTTAAATTCGATTTTACCTATAGGTAATTATAATGTATATTATAAATAAATATTCATGGTTGTTTGATTGGAAATGAATATATGGATTATTTTGTTAGTTTACTTTACCTATACAATAGGATCACTGATGTATGTTTTGTACAAAAAAATAATATGTACCCTTCGTTAATAGTTAATAACATTATTGTCTCAGACAATTTATTTGTAAATTATAAAAAATATAAGTAGATTTACGAGTAGGAGTATAAATCTATTACCTATATTTATAATAAGCTATACAAATGATTAATGTTGTATTTGTATTAGATCATTTTTCCAAGCTACATGTTGCAATAAATCGCATTTGTACAACACTTAAGTTAATAATAATAGAGTAGAAAAGTTAAATTGTTTCGTATACATTTTTACAATTATTTCTATCATGATAAGTAGAGATAGGATTTTAATGATCTATAAATATACAAAAGTACACTAAAAAATGACCAAAAACTCTAATAAATGAATTTAAAAAATAGTATAAAATGTACTTGGATAAGCGAAAACATTTAATTTAAAATTATTATTATTTTTTATATAACATGAAATAGGTAAAAATTTGTATCGACATCAAATTCACACACAAACTACATAAACGGCTTCCTACTGTTGAAAATGAATCTAAATACTTAAAACTAACGTAATATTTATAAAAATAATCATAAAAATGCAATGAAATGCATTTAACACAGAACATAAAAAATAAAAATTACACATTCTAAATTGTTATACAACGAAACAAATTTAGTTTTTGGTTTAAACTGTATAGCATTTAAAGGAAAAAAATGCAAAAGTCATCAAAATCCTAGCTAGTAGCTCTAGTAAATGACTAATGGCACGATGTAGTTGATCCGTATTCTATGAACAGTATATGGACTGATGTATAATGGGTTTAATCTTCTAACGAGTAACCCAAGTTAGGGAGTAAGAGACAAGAGTGTAACCTATTTACCTATCACACCATTTTCACCTGATGATGATAAATGATAATAAACAATAACAATAATAATAAGAATAATGATATTCGGCGCGGGGCATATAGATAGAGTAATAAAACTGGAGTCACAATTTTTGTACATGCGCGCGTCATCACTCATCAGCGGGCGAGCGTAAACGCGCGTCGCGAAGCCTGGCGGACGGTGGTGGTACCGACGACTTGTGGGCGGGCGGAGCGCGCGCTCCGGCGGCGCGTAGCGGACTGCTAGGTCGGCGTGGAACGTTGATGGGATGGCGGTGGTCGTGGCGGCGGGAGGCGCGCAACGGTCGTCGGAACGTTCTGCGCGCCCGTACCTCGAAGCACGGGCGAACGGCCGCACCGGTCGATTGGCGAACGGTGGGTGTTGTTTATTTTCCCACATTACGTTGTTCTCTTTCACCCCGTTTCGTCACTGGCTGACGGAGTGGCGACTACTACTACTACTACTACTACTACTACTACTACTACTACTACTACTAATCAAACGATTGATTACGTGTGGCTGTGTATGTGCGTGCGTGTGCGAGTTCTCGTGCGTTAACGCCTGTCGTCCGCTCGTGAGTGTGCGTATGTATTTGTGTGTGTGCGTGTGTGACGTGTTTGCCCGTGCGTACGTGCGTGTGTGTGCGTTTGCGTGAACGGTACCGTGCATATACTTTGTTTATACTTCATATACATACACATATATATATATATATACATAATAATAATATATATGTACACATACCTGCGTCCACACACACACACACACATACACACGTATATAATATATATGTATATATTATAATGTTTACTTATATTACTTTCATAATACCTATATAATATTATTATGTATATACACGTACACTACAAATCGAATGCGTACATGTAACAATATATGAATGGAAAAATAATATTTTTGTGTTTATTATTGCGTGTGTATTATATAACATTATTTATTATAAGAAACAATAATGTGTCTCGTGTTGTAATCTCATCGTCGTGAGTTTTTTTTTTTAAATTTAATTTTTATTTCGTTCCATTTTTTTATTCTCTTTTCTCCGTTATTGTTGTTTTGGTGATAATAATAATAATAATAATAATAATAATAATAGTAATAACAATAATAGTAATAATAATATGAACGGCGTCTGCGATTGGTCGCGACTGCAGTTTTCCAGTACTGGTTCCGCGTCCGTCCGTCATCACAGCAGCAGCAGCCGCCGCCGGAACCAACGACGACTAAGCGTGCCATCACCGCACCAGTGACGACAACGGTGACGGCGATAACAACAACAGTGGCGGCGGCGACGACGACGACCACCACCACGGCCGCGATATCCTTTAGAAACGCGAAGAAATCATTGAACTGAACGTCGACGGTCGTACGGGGACAACGGTACCGCGGGTTTTCGCGTGTGATGAAGGTAACGTTCACGACGGTCAGTCTCTCGCAACACGAACCGTCCGTGGTAGTAAGACCGCTACGTCAACAGCAACGACGAAGACGAATTCCACTGCAGCAACCGCGGTCGCGCGACGCACCTTTCGCCGTCGGATGCCATCTTCGCACTCGGCAGTGACAAAGACCATCAATCATCGCCGATAAAAGATTCTGCATATTATTTTCGTTTAATGTACAGACCGACGCACAACAACAGCAACCTGTAAGTAAAACACGTCTATCTCGTCTATAGTTGTTTATTATTATTTTTTTACGGTGCCTGTTCCTATTTGGTATTTATTTTTACACGTCTGTCCACTTTTACTACCTCAATAATGACGTTACTCGCGCGCATACTTGACCACTGGCGGTATTTTCTGAAATAGCGATTGCATTCCAGTTCGTTTTATCAAGTATTATTGGTAGATAAGTAGAACTGTTGTTACGTTTTCGTGATACACGCACGTCAAACGACGTCATGTTGTCTTGAAGTCTGGAAAGAGAGTTATCCTGGTCTGACCAGCAGCAATTAATTTCCATAATTTTATACCGTCTCGCATCTGTTGGCATTGGTAATTAATGAACGGCATGACAATGTCAAATAACATTAGAAACGTTAGATATGTTCTGTGTTTTAAGGATATTTTCCTTAAGTTCGATCATGTTACTATTCTGATTTTGAACGTAAGTACGATAGTATAAATGTACATTGCGTGCTTCTTTTTACTCATTGACATTTTCTATTTGTTTTTATTTATGGAATCTAAATGAAAATAAAATAGTTTTTTTTTAAAGTTTGTTTAATGAGATAACTTGTTATCATTTATGGTAGCATATTTTATATGAGAGGTTAACTTACTACTTATACTAATTTTATTAACCTAATTTATAAATTTATATATATATATATATATTTAATAACTTAATTAAAAGTTCTGAAAGTTAGGTTACTATTGCATTAGGAAGTAACATTTATCAACAATATATCTAGTAGGTAATTATATGTTTAGATAAGAATAAAAAATAAAAATAATGTATTTAAAATATGAATATTTTTAATGATTATCTATTTATTTTATTTAGTTATACTTAATCGTAGGTATTTACCATTTAAAATATGCAATCATTTAAGTATCTATCTAAATTTTTTTTCAAACATTTTAATTATTATATTATATTATTATTTATCATTTAAGAATGTTATAAATATATATAAGTATAATAGAGTTTTTTGATTAAAATATTAGAATAATAAGATTAATCACTTAATAAATTAGTTAAACAATTTTCTTAATTTTTTTAATGGACACTTTTGTTGGTATTTTATAAGTGAATACCTATAGTATAGTTGAATAATACTGTTAATACTTCTATGTTATCTGCCTAATATTTATGATGTGATGGTATAATATTAATTTACTATCTACCACATAGACACTTTATCAAAAGTTATAAAATATATTAAACAATATTAAAAAGAAAGATATTCAAAAGAATATTAAATTAAAACTTGAAAATATTTCAAACTTATAACTACTAGATTTAAATACTGAATAATTCTGTATAATTGGAAACGTGGGAAATCTATTGTAATATCATTTATTTTATAATTATGCTCTCTAGCTTCTGATTATAGTAAACAATGTTTTGATTAAAATATATCAGAGTTGATGTATTCTCTCTCTATTTGACATATCGAAAATGTCAGTCTGCTTGTGTAAAATGATTCACTTTTTTTTGTGGGCCGGAGTATAAATACTTAATTGTAAGATTTTATGAATTCTTTGTGTTAATTGATAAAGTAACAACTTAAACAAGTATAAATTGTGAGGACCCCATACAGTATTAAAAGTTATAATTTTTAAAAATAATTGTTTATAATGATGTCATTACCTATTATTATTGAAAAATTTAATTTATCTTTTCATAATTAGAAAATAAAATACAATTATCAAAATTGTTTAATTTATTATTTTGTATTATAATTATTAAATATATATTTATTTTTTTATTTGGTGTGTATATATGCATTTAAATTAACTTGATTAAGCTTTTATATTATTAACAAAAAAAAACCTTTGTGCACCTACACCCACATTTGAGGTTCCAATGATGTTTTGTCTTTACACAATATTCAATACTAAAAACTTTGAGTATTAAATATTTTTAGTTCACTGATTTTTCTAATTATTTTGAAATTAATTTCATTTTAATATTTATAATTATGTATAAACAATTTAGTAGGCCGAAGATAAAAATAAATTTTATATGTAGGTAATACAATTAACTCATCTAAGAAATATGAATATTGTTTTTTCAAATAAAAAAATTGTAGAACTAAATATATTTTACAACCACTTTTACAATTTTTTTCTAGGAAATAGATATGCAATGAGCATTATAAATAAGTTTTAAGATTTTAATGTTTGTTACAGTATGCCAATTTTTAGAGAACTTAAATGTAGTTTCAATTTAGTGTAATATAACTTATTTGAACTTAATAATACTGTATCTTAGTTTTGTTATATTTTAAATTTAGAATTCTAATTTTTTAAATAAAAAAAAGTTTGTATAAATAATTTTTGGATAATTCACTGCAAGTGGGCTAATTAAAACTTGTTGGTGGAAAAAAGGTGACTTATAGACTGAATTATTATTAATGAATATTACATATTATCTGTTATGATCAATTTAAGTATTTTAGTCTAAGAATCTCTTTTACATACTATAACATGTATATGCTTGTCATAGGTTTCTGTGATACAAGTTACTTTATGATAAAAGTTTGTGTATTGGTACTTCATAGAAATACAAAATATGGAGTACTTATCCTACATTTATGTTTATTATTAATATTTTTCTAAGTAAATTGACCAAAATCATTGCTTAAAATCCTTAAATTATGAATTTTCAATTATTTAAATACATGTTTATATACTATAAACTTAACCTAAGCGTTTAATTTAGTTTAGAATATCCATATTTATTTATTTTTTAAATAAAATTATAAATTTATGAAGTTTAGGAATAATGTATCTAATATTGTATACATTTCATGTGTAAGATGCTAGTTTCATTAGAATTTAAATTAACTATTACTAAAAATATTTGTAAATATCCTACTTGTAAATATTTTTTAAATTTATTATGACAGAACATAATTGTCTTAGTATGCATTTATTTAAAAAAAAAAACATATTTTCTTTTGATATAAATTCTACATATTTGATATTTATATTATATTTTTTTGAATTAAATTAGGTATGCTAAGTCTTAATTAAATATAGAAAAATCTGTTTTTCTGTAGGTTTATTTTTTATTGGCTCCTGGAAACCTGGGTGGGAACAGTTCTTCTGGGGTCGTCGGTTCAAAAGTGAAAAAAGGTATATTTTTTTTTTATTAAAAATGATTTTTATTCATGTTTGTTTTCAAATTATATTGACACTAAATTAGAACAGCTAAGTAGGTACTTCATACATTTATTCATAATTTTTAAATGCAAAAATAAAACAATGTAAAAAATAAATATTCATTATTAATGCTTGTTAATAATATTCAATTTTATTATTTCACGATGTATTGTTCAAGAAATTTTCTAGTGTAAATAGTTGAATATAATCTTATGGTTTATCAAACAATATTTAAAGAGTAGGTAACAGAATATTGTTCAATTTTATAAGATTTTAATTTAATAAACATCATAAAACTAATATTTTTTTATCAATTTAACTATCTTTTTTATATTTTAATAATTTTAGGAAACTATGAAATTATACTAAAATCTTTTAGTCAATAAATATTATATTGTAATAATTTATAAAAAATTACATTTTATTATATTATGTTATGCTGTGAAAAGTTATCATATATTTAACCACAAAAGTTTTTGTATCCATAATAATAAATAATTATAAAAAATCTATCTGTATAGATTTATTCTTCATATTAAATTAATATAGTATTTGTGATTTGCTTTCTAACTTATAAAATATTTTTAATTTTTTTTGATTTTATTTTACTGATAACTAATTAAATTAATATTATTTTCTATTAATTAATTGGTTATTAAATTATTAAAATTAACCTAATTAAACAATTTATACATTGTATTTGTTTGAATAAAAATTGTACTTGAAATATTTGTATATATCTACCTATAGTTGAATATAAAATACGTAATATTGGTTAAAATTTTATCTACCATAATTTTTGTATTGTTGTTTTACTGTTGAATTACTACTTTTATTTAAAGTTAATTTTCCATTTATTATTGAGTAAATACTAACTTACATTGAATATTTGATGAGAAGTCTTCAAATTTGTGGATAATATTTAATTTAATAAAACATATGAATTGATTATATTTTCAATTATGGAATCAAGCATTTCATTTTAATGGTTAAAATTGTTATTTTAAATTTTTTCAGGCAATATGACTTGAAAGTAGGGTACAACGATGGTCATCAAAGGACCATAGCAATGAACGGGGAAATTCCTAGTGTACCTATAACAACCCTGGCTGGCATTTCAAGTTTAACAGATTGTAAGTATTAATTAGTAAGATTTTTTTTCTGAATATCTCTTATTTAATTATTAAATCTATATGATTTTTTCAGTATTTTTAATTTAATTAAAAAAAAAAAAATATAGTGTTGAAGGTTACTATTTAGGAATTAAATGTTGTTACATGAATTTATTATAAATATTGATACAATTGAATTGTTGGTTTTAAGGTAACTAAGATTTAATATTTGACTTTGTTACACGGTTATATCATAACCGTGTACCATTTGTTTAACTGAGAATGATGTGAATAATTTTTTCAATACTTTTTGTGTATTTAATAGATGTAGTTAAATTTAGAGAGACTGATATAGTAACTTGAATAAAGTTATGTAAAAGAATTTAAATTTAAATAAATTTTTTTTTTTTTAATTATAGAAATTCTTTTTGCAGAAATTCTGTGAAATACAAATGTAAAATGTAGATATTACAGTAAAAAACAGTATTAAGATTATAATATAACTTGTAAATAAAATGTTAATAGTTAACATTTGTAAATAAAATGTGAATAGTTATTTACAAATATATAACAATTAACTTGTCTATATCTGCAACTGGTAATGTGGTTAAACAAGATCATGATTATATGATTTAATGTAAAGAATCTTCAGCGTACAATACAAATTTCTATTGTATAGCATAGGTTTTTAATGTTATCCTTGTCTTATGTTTTATGAAATATTGGAAAGTATACTTGTATACAATTTTTGTTATGATTTTTTCATTGAATTTTTAATTTTATTAAATTCTTTATCACAATTATAAAGTTTCTATCTTAAAAAAATGATTTATAAACAATACCAGTTGGTATTTAGAGGCCGAAACATTAAAAATACTTTAAATTGATGATTTACAAAATATATAACTTTAAATTTCAGTATAATTTTAAAATTTTTAAAATTGTTTTTATTTTTATTGATAAACATTTTATGCTTATACCATATTTATTTCATAACTTAATTTTAACTAATTTCGCTACAATTTTTAAAGTATATAAATTAATTTTTGAAAAATATATTTAATCTGTGTGATATATATTTTATAAGAAACTAAAATTATTCTATTGTGTCAGCAGAAATATTTTTATTTTATAAAAAAAATAAATTTTTTTATACTTATTTAAGCTTTGTATAATTTTCAGTGTTACCTGAAATGCCACTGCCTTCACCTATGCCTCAAACATTAGGTAATAAATCTTTACTATTTCATCCCCGGGTAGCCGAAGAAGCAGATATTTTACTTAGCCTTCGAGATGATGCTTTGGTACCACAACTAATTCAGTCTTTAATAAATACCTCATCAGACCACATGTAAGTATTATATATGTATGTATAGTTTATGGAAATATTTATAAATAATTTCATGGATATTTTGTATTTTTTTAGACAATTGAAAGACAAATATATGTATACAGAACATTATAACAATCAACAAAACATACCTGAACTTCTTAAAGCAATATTACATCAAAATGCTAATGTATTTAGAGGACCACCAGTGATATTTCAACAACAGCAAGGTAAAATACTCAATTTTTATTTTTTCAATAAAATATTGTATGCATTTTATTCTAGGTTCATTGCTTTGCAATGATATGATATTTTCTTTTGTTCTTTAAATTCATCAATTATTTAATATTTAATATAATTTATTTTTATTCAGTTATGAATATATAATTTCTAATAATTATTTGCCACCCTAGTAATTTCTAAATCTCCAAATTTATAAATTAACTTAAGACCAATTTTTATCAGATGAAATAACTGATTTATGAAAAAATAATAATATACTGTTCATCGTGTAAATAGTTGTAAACATATTTACGTTTTGCATGAATAGTGTAATTCAAATATATTACATACATAACATTCATCATAAAGCGCCTTGAACACCTTTGTTAAATATGTCTATTGTTTTGAATTTGATAATGAGTATTTTTATCTTATTAAAACAATTTTTAATAAATTATTTATTCTGGCATCATGTTTTCAAACATAAATATATTTTTGGATTGTATTGTTCGAATTATTGGTGATAATTACTGAATACATACATAGTTTCTTAAGATGCAAAGAATTAAAACTAAACCAATGGAAATATAATATAATAAATTTTTTTTTAATTATTTATAATTTATATGTTTTTAGAGAAAGAAAAAAATATTGAAACCAAAACTGTACAAGAACTCAATGAATTAAATAGTTTTGAATCAGCGTTGATTGAACAACATGATTTATCACATAATGAACTATTACAGCAATCTGAGATTTTGAACGAGCTTCCTCATCAACAGCAACCTGTTATAGTTAGAACACCTCCTGCAAAATTATCTAGATTGTTATTAGATGACGATGGTAAATTAATATTTATCTTTTACTTTTACTTTGATATTGAGTTTTTTTCTATATATTTATATACATAGATAAAATATTAGAAGATGTTGAAATTACAGATAATGATAAAATAAGTGTTCAGAACTTGGAACGTCAATTTTCTCAAATAACAAATGATTACGATGTTTTCTTAAATCAACCAACAATTTCATTAACTCGAATTGATCTTAGTCAACATGGTATTTATTTTTCATACTGCTAGTAAAGGCATTGGTTAACTAAATGTTTTTTAATTATTTGTTTTAGTTGTGAACAAAAAAAATATGATAAATATGGAAGAACTCACAGAGGATAATGATTTTGGACTGGCTCTTGCAGAGAGACCATCTATTATAAATCAAGGTTACATATTATTTTAAATAATTAAAATGTTATTTATATATACAATGAAGATTGTTGTTTTGATTTTTGTAATTTAAGCATTTATATATATTTGTTTTACATATATGAACATAATATCTGTTATTTTGAATTTAGAATTATTTTATTTTTAATACCCGAGTGCTTTGTAACTGTTATTTTATTGTTTGAATCAATATTATTTTCATACACTGCTAGTATATTTTTTGTTGAATTTTTTTCTGAGTTTGATTTTAATTTTTGTTTTAATTTTAACATAACTATAGTATTACTTAAATTTCTATCTGTTACATATATTTAACTAAAATGTGATGTATTTATTTATTTATAGATAAAAGAAGTTTCCCGCCACAAGTTGAAAATGAAAGTTCTGATCCAAATGATTTTGGAGTATCATTGACTGAGAGAATTAAAAGAAGAAAAAGAGCGGCACAACAATCAGAAGTCAATGACAAAAATAATAGTTTTGATGAAAGTAATTATGATTCAATTTTTTTTATTTTTGAACTTTGGACTTTAAACAGTCGTCTTTGTTAATCATGGTTGCTTTCCTATTTTTAATTGAATATCTATACATGTTTTTTAAATTCCATTTAAAATAGTAATTGTCTGATGTTTGTATAAATAATTTTAGATGAATGTATTATAAAACCTAAATTAAGAAAAGTTGAAAGAAAATTTGTACCAGTTGTTGAAAAGTTATCTGTTGAAGAACTAATGGAAACTAATACATATCAGAAGTTCAACAAATGCATAGAAAAAGTATTTGAAAGTACTGAAGAAATTGATACATTACTAGATTTTGGTAATTGACATTATATTATTCTTATTAATAGCAGTTGTTCAGAATTTATATTTGTTATTTTAATAGGGGAAAATGATATCCCAACTGAAGCTTTAATACCAAAATATGTTCTGCAAGAATTATGTAGTGAGTCAGCTAAACTTAAAACATTAGGTGCTATGGAATCAATTCCATCAAACAAAATAATTCGTATACTAAGCATACTAGAAAAAAATATTAGAGATGGTGCTAAAGTATCACCAATAGCTGATCCAGTAAGCAAATACTAATACATCACTTTTTGAACTACTAGTGTTAAATATTTTATTTTCTAACAATAATGTGTTGATTATTTTTTTTTAGGAAGATGATGAGTGTGAAAGAAAACTGTGGATGGAGTTAGCGATGGAAAGAGTTATGCGAGCTGTAGATGCATCTCTTACTACCTTGTATGTGTTAACTTCACCAAGAATGCAGAAAAAAGTTTATATGGAAGATGTTATTGATAGAGTAGTCATGTTTACAAAGTATCAATTACATAATACAATTTACCCTGCTTTTGATCCTGTCTACAGGTACATTTAAAGTGATAACTATTTTTTTTTTTATAATTTGATTGAACTGTCATTTATTTTCTTGCTATAGGATACATAAGAGTAATGATTCTTATACAGGAAGTGCACGTAAAAAACGTGCTCATCCTAAAGAAGTTCGTGATAAAAATGTGTTATCCTTATATACCAAGTTAGCAGAAGTAGTTTCATTGTTGGCTGAGCTTTTACAAATTCAAACTCTTACTGATACAGCTGTTCTTCATACTTCATCAATGGCTGTTTCGCCTTTTTTCGTTGAAGAAATCAGTGAACTACAACTTTCTGCATTAAAACTCGTTACAACGGTAAATTCAATTAAATATATTTGATTGAAGAAATAATTTTGAAATAAATGAATGTATGTTATTATTTTTTTTTTTTTGTTAATTGTCAAAATGACTGCTATGCATTTTCAAAATAATTAGAAATTTGTTTTATTTGATTTTAAGAGAAGTAAAATATTTAATACATTTTTATTTGAATAGATATTTACAAAATATGACAAACACAGGAAATTACTATTAGATGATATACTTGCATCTATGGCACGGTTGCCAAGTTCAAAGCGAAGTTTAAAATCATTTCGAATTAGTTCTGAAGAGTATATTCAAATGTTATCAGCTCTAGTTTTACAATTAATACAATGTATGGTCGTACTTCCTTCTAATTTAGCAGATAAACAATCAAATGTATGATTTTTTAATATTTATTATTACTTGACATGTTTTTAATCTGGATAATTAATGTAATTTTTATTTTTGTTTTAGCTTGATCCTGATACATTAATTATCAGTAAATTCAAGACTGCTCGTTCAACTGCTTCAAGTTTTTTGCACGTGTTTTTATCAAAATGTAGTAGTAAAAGTGAAGAAATTGATTACCGTCCAATATTTGAAAATTTCATTCAAGATTTATTGACTACTGTCAATAAACCAGAATGGCCAGCATCTGAACTTATGCTTAGTGTACTTGGAAGGCTATTGGTTGCTAATTTTGTCAACAAAAATTTAGATATGTCTCTTAGAGTAGCCTCCTTAGACTATCTTGGTGTTGTAGCAGCTAGACTTAGAAAAGATTCTGTTACATCTCAATTAAGATTAAAAACCATTGATTCCATTATTATGGATATACGGACAGAAGAACTGAAGGATGAAGATGGAAATTTAATGGTATGTATCGATAATATAAATATATATTTTTGATTGATTGTAGTTAGTGTATTGGGCATACACTTCTATCTTACAGGCAATTTCTTGCCATTTTAAATATATTAAGCTTTTCTCAACTTCATCCATTCACACTTGATCTTATTAATGATTTACTCTTTAAAACTAATTGGTTTGTACTATCTGATACTAAGTACTTGAATTAATCCACATTGCACAGTAGCTTATATGGCTGGCTTAATACTAAACTTTAATACCTAATTATTTCATTAAAATCCTGTGTTTTTTTTTTTTATACATTCTTCACTCTCATCTTTGCTTCTTCATTTATATTATATATATATTTAATATATTACATGCTTTTGGTAGTTTCCTCTTTTTTTTTTCTCAAAGTTGACCCCAATACCTCTTTTGTAACTTTATTAGTAGGTATGTCCTTTCTTTACATACTATAGAAAATTTTCTTTCATTCTCTACAATCTGCCTCATATACAATACTAGTACTAAAGTCGATTGTTTGGTATAGAACAATTTTGATAGGTTTTATGAAGTCATAATTTTATACCTTGGGCTATTTTCTATAATATTATCAAATGTTTTCCTTTATACTTATATACCTCTATTATTAATATTTTCTTTATTATTTTGTGCTCACTGACTCTTAATTATGAGTAATAGAATACTTTTTCTTTATTCTTTTAGATTTTTCCAAACTACTAATAAATATTCCTGTGTATCATAATTTGTTGCGACAAAATTAATGTTAAATTCTTTGAAGTTGAAAAATTGAATTAAAAATTTATGATTTGTACATATTTTATTGAATTATACTTAAAGGTGACGCTTATTAAAAACAAGTAGATAAATCTTAACATAGCCAATTTTTTTAGCACATTTATTAACAATGTTTATTATGCAAATTTGTATCATCAAGTCTAGGTAAACCATGGTCACTGACGACATTTGGTTTCATGCATCATGTGAATGTATGCATTTCCTAACATTATTTATATTATTATATAAATGTAAAGTATATAGTTCCATAATATATCATTATTATTATTTACAGGAAGAAGTAAAAGAAGTCCAAGATGATGAAGAAAGAATACAATTTTTGCAAAGAGTCCTGTTAGATTATTTGGCTATTAGAAGTCTTTCAGAACCAGCATTAAGGCATGCTCGGCATTTTTATTTAGCTCAATGGTATCAAGATAATACTGATGCCGGAAAGTCATCTGATTCTTTATCTAAAAGAAAGAAAGAAAAACGTTCGCGTAAAAAATTTGGTATGTATTATATAATTGAAGTAATAGATTTATTTGTGATTTTTAAACTTCTTATTTAAGGATCAGACGATGAAGATGATGGCGAGAGTAGTGATTCAAGCAAAGAGAATGAATCTCGAATAGATGCAAATAAAGCTATTGAAAATTCAAGGCTTTGTGATCAGAGAAAAGAATATTTGCTAACTAAAATCAATCCTTATGATAATCAATCTACACAAGTTATGCAAACATACATTGACTATGATAGCGCTGAATTAGTAGCAAGATATTTAGCTTCTAAAAGACCATTTTCTCAAAGTTTTGATACTTATCTCAAGCATGTAAGATAACTATTTGTGTACATAAAATATGTATGTAATCTTATATTTATTTAATTTATAATTTTAGATTATCAAGGTTTTGATGGAAACTTCAGTAAATATAAGGACAAAAGCTATGAAATGTTTAACAATGATTGTTGAAGTTGATCCAGGTGTTTTGGGCTTAAAAGAAATGCAGTTGGGTGTAAGCCATTCTTTCCTAGATCACTCAACTTCAGTTAGAGAAGCTGCTGTTGATTTAGTTGGGAAATTTGTCTTAAGTCGTCCAGAATTAATCGATAAATATTATGACATGTTATCCACTCGAATATTGGACACAGGTGTCAGTGTACGAAAGCGAGTGATAAAAATAATGAAAGATATATGTATTGAATGTCCAGACTATCCAAAAATCCCAGAAATATGTGTAAAAATGATACGGCGAGTGAATGATGAAGATGGGATTAAAAAATTAGTCATGGAAGTATTTCAAAATATGTGGTTTACTCCAGTACGAGAAAAGCCTACTCTTGATACAAAGATGTTATTGAGGAAAGTATTAAACATCACTGATGTTGTTGCAGCATCAAAAGAATTAGGTCTAGAATGGTTTGAGCAATTATTATTAAGTTTGTTTAAGCCTAAAGAAGATAAAGATGATACAGCAAAAGTATCTACTGAACCTCCAAAAGCTTTATTAACAGCTTGTAAGCAAATTGTAGACTGTTTAGTGGAAAATGTTGTTACACTTGATGGTGGTGGTGGAGGTACATCACAACAGCTTGTTGCTTGTCTTACTACATTATATTTATTTGCCAAAATACGGCCACAACTATTAGCCACACATTCTCTCACTCTTCAACCATATTTGAGTTTAAAATGCCAGGTAAATAATTTTAAATTGTAAGATTAATGTATGTGATGTATTTATTTACCTTTATTTAATTATTTAGACTCAAGGTGATTATCAAATTATTAGTTGTGTTGCAAGGACATTGGAACTTGTTGTTCCATTAATAGAACATCCTAGTGAAATATTCTTATCACAGCTTGAAGAGGATGCAGTTAAACTAATTATGAAGCATGATCAAACTGTGATTTTAAGTTGTATATCATGTCTTGGATCTGTGGTAAATAATGTAACAAGAAATTTTAAACTTATCCGAGATTGTTTTGGAATATATTACAGTAAGTGTGAATTATTATTTGATATATTTAATTTTAATACATCATTTTTTTTTCTTATAAAATAACCTATGGTCACTTATTTTTAATAAATATTTTAATACTAGTAGTATCAACTTTGTTTTTATAGCTTTTTCACTTTTTATAGGAATCAAACTAAAATTTAAATTAATTTAGCTTAAATGATGAATACAAATTGTGAAAGTAACATAATTAAAAACATTTTATTTTTTAATGTTAATGTTAAAAGAATAAATACTAACTTGTCTAAAATATGATCTTGGAATGCATAATTTATTAGTTTTATTAGATTTTATGTCTTTCATTTGATATGAAATATTGCCTGATCATTACAAATTAGTATTAAATTGAACTGTGTAACTTTTGTTATAAATTCTGTGTATTTTATTTTAGAATATTTAAGTAATTTTCAAAAATTACATCAAGATAGACAGACAAATCCTCAAGGTTTAGTACCACTGCGGCCAATATTTCGTCGTTCAATCTATATTATTGGGCTAATGTTAAGATTCTTTGATTTTACTGACAAAGAAGTTTATGGTGATGCATACCCAGTAAGTTTTTTTAAATTTTAAAATTAATACAATTTTCTTTTAAAAATATTTAATTAATTTTTATAGGATAATATTAGAGATTTAGTGTATGACATAATGTCATATTTTATGCATACAAATGAAGATGACACTAAATTATTTGCATTAAAAGCAATTGGATCAATATGTATAAGACATTATGACTTTATGTTATGTCAAGATCTTATGAACACATACCTTGATATTTTATCAAATAACAGTGTCGCAAATATAATGAAATCTCAAGTATGTATACAATTATTTATAGTTTTAATATTATAAATTATTTTATTTAATATATAATCTAAAATTAAATTATTTTTCTAGATTTTGAATAACATTGAAATATATTTGGAAGAAGAAGAAAAACGAATGATTAAACAGGATTTAGAGTGTAAGAGTTAATTTCTTTTTTTAATGAGATGTAAATAATGTTTTATACATAATTTTATTGATAATTTCTTTAGGGTCAAAAATGTCTAAAAAAGAGAATTTAAAGGAAATGGGTGACGTTTCATCTGGAATGGCTAGTACAGTTATTCAATTATATCTCAAAGGGATATTAAATTCATTTTTACATACAAGTGTTCAAGTTCGACAAGCCGTACTCAAAGTTATACAATTAATTTTAGCACAAGGACTTGTACATCCTGTTCAGGTAAACAAATTATAAACTTATTAAATAATTATAGAAAATTCATAATAGATATTATGTTTATAGATTGTGCCTTATCTTATATGTATGAGTACCGACACAGAAAAATCAGTTAGCAGTCGTGCTGATAAGCATTTGCAAGAGATAGAAAAAAAATATCCTGGATTTATACACATGGGTGCTCAAAATGGAATAAAATTGTCATTTCAGTTACAAAGCATTATACAAACTGATGGTGAAATGGTTCGAGGATATCGTCTAAAAGAAAGTGACACTATTCCTAGTGCTTTAAATGGATGTCTTTATTCTATACTAAGAACTAAACAACAACGTAGAGCTCTAGTGTTGTCAATTTTAAAACAATTTGAAGATCAAGGCGTAAGTTAACAGTAATTTTTTTATAAATTAAGAGTAATTCATATTTTTCATGTATTTGTTATATTCTTTTTGTAGAAAACAAATTTAGCTCAAATGTTATACTTAGCTGATAACTTGGCATATTTTCCATTTCAATCACAAGATGAGCCTTTATTTATTATACATCACATTAATACAATGATATCAGTCAATGGAACTAATTTGCTTCAAAACTTTAGAGAGGTTAGTATAGTCTAATGTGAAACAAAGTTATATTTCATAGTATATTGTTAAAATAATGCCTAGTTATAATTATGATTTTTATATTAAAAAATTTAATTTTTGTAAAATTTAATACTTAAGTGTTTTTTTTTATAAAGAAAAAGTCATTTTTTTTTTAAATAAAATTCAAAGTTATCAATATTATTTTTATTTACTTTTAGGGCCTTCTTCCTAATCCTAATGCACCAGTACAATCTAATAAAGTAGATGGTGTTGAAGACGAAGAAGATGAAGATGAAGGAACACTTGTAGATAGAGTACCTGATGATATAACAAATCTTCAAGAAGTGCTTAAAAAATCTCAAGGTTGCCTTCTACTTTTAGTTCTCAAACTTTATTTAAAAACTGTTTACGGGATAACAGATTTGTAAGTCTTATTTGTGTTACATTATTAGAAAAATTAATGTATCAATTATTTTTTAATAAAAAACATTTATTCTAGAAAAATCACTCAATATTCACCGTCAGAATCTAGTAAAATGTATGATAAGAATTTAAGTAGAAAGTCAAATTCAAAATTCAATCCTAAAGCCACAATACAAAAGCTTAAATATGGATTAGAAATAAATATGGAAGATTTACAAAAGGCTAAATCGGAGTTGATTGCTTATTACTTAGAAGTATGTGAATTAAATATAATATATTTTTATTTTATTATACAATATTTTATTTTTGCAGTTAAAACAATTAATTATGAATCTTGATCCTGACGATGAAGGAAATGAAGATGCTAGTACTCCTAAAGGCTTAAAGAGTGTTCCATCTACACCAAGTAATCATGTAGGTAGCACTCCTACTCAAATTCCAAATACGCCCAACCACAATGATGTTTCTAACGTGTCTTATGAATCACCAGAATATCAAAAACAAGTAATTTTCAAAGTTATATAATATTTTAACTTTAAACACTATATGAAGTATGGTTGACCATACTTTAATAAGTAAATTAATTTATTGTAATGGAATTTAATATTTTTTAGTATTTATTGTTAACAGATAATAAAACAGTGTTTTGTGTATATTATTGTACATTAAACTAGAAAATTTTTCTTATTGTTAATGAAAACTTAGTAATTATAAAAAAATTAATCAACTGGTTCAAATTTGTTGTTTTTAAGTGGATTCAACTAATATTTCTTGAAATTTTTCTAAATTTCAAGTAGCATTTGTATTTATTGGTATAAGTTACCTTAGTAAATAAAATTATTTGATTCTAGATTTTGATATGAACATTGAATAACATTTTTTTAAAATATATTACTCATTAATTTCTTTAAAACAAGGACTTGTATATTATCTGGTTATTGTACTCATTTATATTTAATAAGTGTAAAGTATCTTTATTTATTTCCTAAATTATTCAGTTTGCTAGGAATATATTAAAACAACTCATAGAATTTTCACTCATTGTTTATTTTTAAAGAAGGTATAATTAATTTGTATAAGGAATGAATTATGATCAAATATAGTTTTTTTTTTTTAAATATTTAAAGATTAAAATTTCAAAATAAAACCTTTTTATACACTATTATTATTTTTTTTAAAGCACTCAAGTTTTTTTCTTGTCCTAGCTTAGATGTATCTAGAAGTAAATGATTTACAGTTGTTCTTAATAAAAACATAATCGCTTTATTCTTATAATTTTAAATAACATAAACTATATACAATTGTATAGGAAAATCTTTTATGGGAATGATTTGTCAACTATTTAATTTTTTTGTATTAATCCTGCTATATTAATTTTCTAAAATTATATTTTCTGTTGTTACACAGAATAATGTTCAATCAACACCAAAGGTTCCTAAATTGACTATCATACCTCCAAAACCTCCATCGTCCAAGCATTCTCATCATCATCATCGATCACATAAATCAAAAAAAGCTGATCGTCCTAAAAAACATCATCATAAGCGAAAGAAAGCTAAAGGTGGAGACAGTTCTGAAGATAGTGACAATGTTTATAGCGATCCAGATTTCTTAGTATAAACAGGTACCTTATTGTAATTTAAATGTGCTGTAAATAGATTTGTTGTAAAGTTTTTTTTGTTGACAGATGAATTATTTATTTTTATGGATAATTAATATTAGATTTTAAGTGCTCAATTGATCATTCTTCTATGCCTAGTGCACTTGAATACTTGTTTTTCAATATGAGCACATATTGTGAGGTCTGAAACTTAAAATGTCATTTGATTTAACATTATTTTATTTTGAAAATAAATTATATTTTCCGAATTGTACAGAAATAGTTTTTTTTTTAATTTATGAATAGAGAGGAAATCATGTTCACATGTGTAGTCTCTTTCTTATAAACCTATAACATGACTAATTTGTTCTAATTTTGTGTTATTAGTTTTAATATTTGTGTAAATTGACCTATTATCAAACTTGAAGGTATGATTTTTTTTTCATGTCTGGTTTTGTTTTTAATTTTTATTTTAAAGTAAGAATTAAATGTTTTTTTAAGTATGATACTCACATTGTCATATCTTGCATTTAAATAAAATGTGAAAAAATAAAGACATAATAAACAGTTAATGTTAATTTGATGTTTAAATTAAATAGTATTAACCTATTATTAGTTTTGTATTGAATACTAAGATTAACAACACAAATTTGGAACTATTTAATCTATGTTTACCATATTTGTTTCTAAGACAGAGATAACTCTTGCGTATGTGATATCACTCTTACAAAAAATATTTTTAGTTTTTAAAATGTATTGATTGATCTTTTATTAATATTTTACATATTTTTGATTTATATACTGTAACAGATTATTTTAACATTAAAGCTATCATTCTTGTAATGTTTTATATTTTTATGTTTTTATGTTTTTTTTTTTTTTTTTTTTTTTTTTAATTGGTGTAAAATTAATCTGTTAACTTAACAAACTATTTCCAAATTGTATAGACAAAATTAAAGTAAAGCTATATGGTTTTTATTCATAAGAGAACATTCCTTATTAAATTTATTTTATTTATTATTAGACCAACCAAAATTATACAAATGCTGTAATAATAAATTGCAAAAAAATATATTCTTTATGTTTTAAAACCCTTCGAAAAAACTAAATCTTAACATAAATATTGATTTTTCAATCTTATTATTTTTTTTTTTTTATGATTCTTATAGTAATTCTTTTATTTATACATTTTTATTAGTTATTAATTATATAAAAATTAATGTTCTGCCTAGTAATTATTATATCTGTATTAATACTGATTAAAGTTAAAAATCATGGAATTATTGACATTTTACTCTGGATAAAAATGTATTTTAATGTATTGTAAATTAGATATACATTACACATTCAAACTTAAATAATATAATAAAAAAAAACATTATACCAATAAGTGACCTACAAGCTTATAATTAATTTAATATTTAATTATCACGACAACATTGGTGTTTATAAAATATGTAAATAATTATTAAATTGAGTTTTAGATTTTTTTTGTTATCATAACTAAAGCATTATTGCTATATTAATATTATAGAGTTTAGTTTGTTATGTTAATTTAGTTGTGTTTCTAGATATATGAAGTTAAATACATAGAATAGATAAAATACTTAAATGGCAATATTATAGTAGGTCACGTTTGGTATAGTGCAGGAAAATTAATTTATAACTAGGTGAAAACATTAAATGAAACCTACTAGTTAACAATATTTTTTAATTTATTCATATTTTATTATTTATATGGCTTATATTAACTTATTATTATTATTTTTTTTCATCTTTTTAGCAATTAATTAAATGAGATTGTTAAGTTAATTTAATTATTTAAAATTCGTCTATTAATTTAATTCACATATAATTTATTGATAATTATTACATTATTTTCATTCATTTATAATCTCATCAAATTTACTGGTTCACCAACTTTAATAAATTGTTTGATAAAACAAAAATTAAAACTATTAAAATGAATTAGTTCAGAGCATAAAATTTATTATTTAGTTGTTGACTAAAATAATTTTGAGATTTTTATTACGTACATCACTTTTAAAAATTTATTGCTAATTGTTTTTATAAAATAAATTAATTCAGTGGATCCTTTTATATATGTTTAAAAAACTTAATTATATTCCTGTTTTTTATATTTTAAAATTAACACTTGATCAGACGAGTATTTTATTATAATTATAAGACTTATAGTACAACAAAATATATATTAGGTAATATTTCTTTGTCTATAGTGTTGTTTTTTCATTATGGTTCAGTTTGATAATTTTGGTTTTCTATTAGTAAATATGTATAATATACTTAATGTTTAATATTAAATTATATTTTTTAAATTACAAAAATTGCATTCATTTCCACATTGTTTTAAAATGATAAGCACTGAAATTGAAAACCATTTGGCCAATGTAGTTCTTATTGTTACTATATATAAATTATGTTATTATAATATATATACACACATAATATAATAATTTTTTCATAATGGTAAAATAAATTGTAATCTATATATAATATCTAAATTTGACTATTTTTTTAGCAATAATAATTTTTTTTATTACTGTAATCATTGTAGATGTATTGTTTTATATTATTAACTGTACAAAGTGTAATTTATCACCAAAAGAAATAAATTATTATATTTTAATAATTGAATTTAGTTTTTGAATTATGTGCTAGAGTATGTAATGTGAGTTTTAATCAAATTGGAGTTACTAACTGAAATAATCTGTAATCATGTATATATTATATATATATTGCATTTTTAAATATAATAATATTTCAGTAGTTGTTATAGTAATATGCTTAACAGATATTCTACTGTTTCTAATCATCAAGTAATTTTTTAAATCTGCATTAAATAGCGGAAATTAAAGATAAAAATCTCGATCACTTACTACAAAAACAGATCATACATTTTTTTTAAACATTTTAAGCCTGGTTGTTCTAATAAAATCGATTAACTTAATGGTTAATACTTTAAGCCAATTTGCTTCTCAAGTGAAAGATGTATCAACTTGGTCTGTGAGGTAAGAATTTAGTAACTAATATAGTGTCAAAACTAAACAATCTTTAAAAATTGTAGTTGTCTCGCAATTTTAAAAAGTAAATCAAAAAAATACTTAATTTGTGATTTCATTTTATGCAATATCTTTTCATTTATCTTATACTATAATTTTTATATTTTTTAAGTATTATCAAAAATGTAACTAGGATCTAGGAATTTTCTACCTTTTACTTCGGTTAATATTTTGCAAATTTAAATTGACTGCGTGTGGTCCAAAAGTAATTTTTAAAGTTAATACTTAGCTTTTTCCAAATCCTAGTGAAGACTGTTGTGTTAAAATGTTTATAAATAAAATACATAGGTCCAGATAGTAATTAAGCCACCAATTATAACCTAACCTTATGCTTAATATATATATATATAGATCTAATGTAAATGTCTAAATTATTTAGACATTTACATTTTGATGAATTAATTTTTGGCTGTTATTTTTTTGCGAAGTTTGTTTAAAATTTTAAGCACGACTTTGTTTATTTATTTTTATTTTTAATTAAATTAGTTTGTATTTGTTTTTATATCTGAAGTAACTTTTATACAGAAGTAAAAAGGGTTTTATCTTCAACTTTGATAAGGATGATTTTTTCTAATAATTCAAGTTAAATTTATAATATATGTTATTATCATTATACTGTATGCAAAACAATCTTCAATCATATCAAAACAATAAAATTTATTAAATGAAGTACAATAAGTTCTGTTGCTGTATTTTACTATTCCAACTTTGACCTTGGTGAAATTTTCAGCCTTTTACTTCAATAGAAGGCTTAATATGTAGTATGGAATTATTTAAAAATCAGTATACAAGCAAGCAATAGGATAGAATTGTAATTCATTGTTTTTATATTATAGCTAAATGATAAAATGCACTCAAATAACATTGCGTAGTCTTTAAAGGTAGAAAAATATAAACGAGTGGAACATAAAACTAATTAATTGTCATTAATTGATGATATTTTGGACAGCGTTTGAATATAACATTTACAGTTTAAGTATCCACATTACATAGCATTTTTAAATATTGCTTAGTACAGAGTAACCCAATGTTTTCCTACTATTTTGTAAGGTGACCTATACATTTACTGCTTGTTTGTTACGCGACCCACCCACACCAAGACTGAAAAAAAATTCTTGTATTGTACTGAACTGCCTGATAGAACTGGTTGACTAGTAGAAACGGATGTGGTTTTACAAACAATAAATTTATCCATTAGAAAAATTAAAACTTAATATACATTATATACAATTTGAGTATTTAAAAATGAGTGTCTAATCGTAAACTAAAAGTTATCGTTCGTACCTGCTTTCGCAGTCTCTATGTACTGCTTATTGTTCAGGTGTATGGAAAATTCACTGATACCACATCGACAGTCATTATGGCACATATACCGATAAGATACAAATAAAATACAAACTTTACTAAATATAATATTGATATCAACATAGTAGAATCTACAATATTATTAGCGAGACTTCACATTGTTATTATACGTAGATGTATCAAATAAAACATAAGTTAGGTATTTATAAATTTTCTATTTAAATTATTTTCATGTATATTTTAATTATTGGTCGCGACTGGCGACCCATAAAAAGTATTTCGCGACCCATAGACTGGGAAACACCAGAGCAACCTATATTATATTCTGTTATTTACTATATTAACTAACAATAATTTTTTTTTAATTTTAAATTATCGAAAATATAGTGTAATACAAAAACAGTGAATGATAGTAATTTTAATATAATCTCGAGTGTTGGACAAATTTTTTTAAATTAATCTCACATTTTTATATCTTGAAAAGTTAAGAGTTTCAAATGTTTCAATATTAACGAATTGTAATCTAAAATACATAAGTAGGTACATTTAGATGAGTTAGTTATCATGTTATTGTCAATGGTTTTTCGTTATAAGTTGTTGTTAAGTTTCTATCGATTTATTTTGTTGTTTTGTTTTGATATTTTTACATGGTTATAATCTGTCCACCATAACTGTCTATATAAATATTATTATTCTTAAATTTCAAACAAAACTTACACGTTTTAACTGTGCAAGAGGCAAGACCAATGTTGAATATCAGTTTTAAGATGTTCGCGAGATCGGAGTTTGAGAACATCGTCCGTTTACAACGTTTTATACATTTCGTTTTTCATAATATTAGTGCTCACTAAATTAACAAAATAAAAAAATAAAAAAACACCGGCCGGTAGACTAGTGCGTACACCACAACACACGAGCGTCACGAGCTACGATAAAATGTACACTAAGGCTAAGACTGCTAACAAGCATCAATATTGTATTAGTATACACATTATCTACATTGTAGATTATTACTTATCTTGAAATTGTTTTGCGGACTGGAAATAAATTGAATATCCCGGGACGTTTCAAAAGTATCCGGACCTCAATTCACGTACCTACTATAATAATGTGACTGCGATCTGTTTAGGGACGCAGTTTATTGACTT